AAACCTACGTGGGCTGCGTGGTTTTTATCGTGGTATGAGTCGTCACAGGTCGACCCAGCCTCAAATGGGTACCAGGATGGGCTGTCCTGGGAAAGTAAAGACGGCTGGTGTAATGCTGACCACATTACCCACCGAGTGCCGATTGGTCTGTAAAAATATGGGTGCTCTTCCCATTTGCCCGATGCGCCTGAGGGCGTGAGGGATCTTTACTTTTTTTTTAACTTTTAATACACTTATTGAGGTTAACTGTGTTCTTTTTGGAAGTATTAGTATCAGTAATTAGTTTAATTAACTGATATGACCGGAGCAAATATTTACTGCGTACCTGCGGCTCACTAAAGAGGTTTTGTTGAATCATGGGAACAGAAACGCGCTGTCTGCAGATTTCCCGCCGACTGTCGAGACATTAGCTCATGCCGGCTCCACATCCGTCAGTCTGTATAAAGTCTGACTGTCTTACAAAGTGTTGCCGATGATTATATAAACATGGCTGGTATCATGTTGGAATTCTAAACAAGTCCATGGCACACAGGGAAGTGTTCTATGATATCCATAATGAATCCATTGTGGTGGTCATATAACACTTCCTTGTATGAAATGGATTTGTTTAGAATTCTAAATTTTCTTGAAACAGCTCAGACGTTTGTGAGGTTATCTCCAAAGTTATATGGGAAAATCAAAATTGCCGTCGTATTTGCAAGTTACATTCACTTCCTTCGCCGCTTCCTTTTCCTTCAGCTGTGTAAGGATTATCTTTTTACTTTCTCTAATACGGTGTGTAATTTATGTATGGGAAATTTACGTTGGCTACTGGAGATGGAAACGGAGCACGTGTGAAAATGTCTCGAGTGCAGTAATGTCAATTCCTGTTTCATCCATTCACGTATAAGTTATTCTTCGCATCTTTAAAATTCTTCTTGGTGCCATCAGTCCATCTCTTGCGTGGTCTTCTCCTGTGTTTATTACAATTATTTAACGTTTTTCTCCACAGCAGTTGATGCCAAGACATTTTTGGGTGCTTTCTTATTATCCTACCCCAAACAGGGGAAATCCACAGGTCACGAGACAGTCTAATATTTCAGGGGGTGGTAGATAAGCACTTTGCAGTCGTGAGACCCAGGCTGCATGCAGTCGTGGGACCTAGGCAGCACTCTCTCGTGGGACGTAGGTGTGTTGGGGTTAGGGCCAGTTCTAGATGTTTTGGAATTGTTAAAAGCACCAGAAAGCCGGGAAACTCAGTTTTACCAACCTCTGAAAGGTTGGACTGTCCTGTGACGTCATCTGGGGGGTAGGGTAATACCCATTCTTGTCACGTGATCAAACCATTTTATGTGTTGCAATTTACTAATGAAAATAGAACAGTTCACACAACTGTCGAAAATGGATACATTGTCTTCTTTGGTAGGGTCTGATATGACATGTGAATTATGCCCAGGTCTTTATATTTCCGTATTATTACAAAAATAAACTAAAAATTGCACAAGTTATTTAGGTAGTTAATCAACCGATCACCTTAATCGCACATGGGCTATAAGTGCTTGGATCCTATCCAAAAGATCTCACTTAGGGTTAGGATTAGAGTTTTAATTGTGGGTTAGGATTAGAGTTTTAATTGTGGGTTAGGATTAGAGTTTTAATTGTGGGTTAGGATTAGAGTTTTAATTGTGGGTTAGGATTAGAGTTTTAATTGTAGTTTTCAGTTCACTTGTTCGCTAGTACTAACCTTAACCAAAATGAAAAAACACAAAGGTAAACCTGTATGAGTGATGTCCGCGTTCTTAACAACACCTTTAGTCTTATATTGAGAAGAAAGGTATTAAAGTACATCATAGCAATTAGAAAGAGCAGGTCAAAGAGGCTGAGACAGGCAGACCGAGACACATTTCGTTACAAGATTTAGACCGGTGACATAGGGCGATTTCATTAATAAAACTAGCCCAGAACAGTAAAGACCAGATGATTTAGCCGCTCCGAATTGTGTCAAGGTTTTAAAGGTCATAAACAAATTTACAAAATGTTTAGCATAAGTGGGTTTAAGGCCTATGCTCTAAAGTGAGAAACAAGACTAAAGAAGAAGAATACACCAGGCTTAATGCAAAAGAGGATAGATCTCTGCGTTAAAGAACCGCCCATATTATACACTACAGTTGCAAAACTACTTTCGCCGGCAGCTCTGAGTCATGAAAGTTAAATAGCGGAAAAAGGCGGGCCGGCTCGGTCGGCATGAAACAAGTAAACGTTTTGTTTTTGTCTGAAACGTTCGCGTGGAGCGTACATAGGCGGGAAGGGTCAGTGTCTAATATCCTGGAATCTGGAAAGCAAATGCCACATTCCATTTTTATTTCCGAAGAGAGTGTTCAAAAGTCGACCCTCGCGGTGTATGTTTTCCTAATTTGATAACATAATGTTTTTTTTTTTCCTCGGTTCCGTAAATGGTTTTCACGGGGATGTTTTAAATATTTCAGGTTTTGCTTATCCTTTTTGTTGTGGGAAATATCTCTGATGTTTTCATATTATCGTTTCTTTTTTCCTGTCTTTCTCTGGCTATTTTACTCTCTCTCTCTCTCTCTCTCTCTCTCTCTCTCCATCTCCCTCTCTCTCTCTCTCTCTCTCTCTCTCTCTCTCTCTCTCTTGTGAGTGAGCGTTTGTGTGTATCGCACACGTTGCATGAAAAACTGTGTAGTGAGATTATTTATTTTATTTGTCCTTCCTCTGTATGGCTGTCTAACTTTCTTTCTTGTCATTCATTCATTCATACACCCACTGCCTCCTTTATAAGCATGTCGTGTGAGTCCACTAATTATGGGATTCCTTCGAAGTCGGAGCACATCTGCCCGAGAGGCAAAGAACCAACAGTCTGTATACACAAAAGCCTGATCTGTAAAACGGATGAGCACACAGAATCCAGCTCTGGATTAAGACCAGTGACGGAAGGCTTAGCACAAGATGAGAGAGTCAGACTGGGGCTGGCCAGCACGCAAGTGGGCATAGGGAATAGAAGAATCTCTGGACAGAGAACTGTTTGAGCAGAAGAGCTGGCGAGAGACCGTGTTTCTCTCTGGCAGTTTGCAGTGGGAGAGGGAGGGTGGGGTGGTGGGGGGGGGGGCGACATTCTGTTAAGGACCTGCTACATTACACGCACAATCACATATGGGTAAGTAAAAATGGTTTCATTTGGTTCTCATCGAGAGATTAGATCTTCACTCGCTGTCTACGCAGCTTTCAAGTGGACTTCTCTGCCTGTGCTGATTAATAACTCTCGCGTGTGTACACCAAGTTTAGGAAAACACATCATTGGCGATTCAAGGTAATCTTTTCATGGTGGCAGTCGGCGACCGAGTCGCCAATTAGCTCGCCGATAACGACTTTGTTGTCGGTCGATACAGTATTTGGGTTTGTCTCCTTTGATCACATCAACACTGCATGAGTCCTTTTTAGGGCTCTTGTTGGCGTGCAATGCTAAGCCATTTTATATAGCGCAGATAACCTAGTCATAATTATTACCTAAAGCTCCTCCTTCGGGGATGCTGGGTGAACGTGACGATTGTTTTTTTCTCTAGAAAGGCACCTTTGATGGTGGCAGTATCAAAAAAAAAAAAAAAAAAACGAGACATTGCCAAGACATTTGACATTTTTTTTTTAAATTTCAGAACTATCACGTTTAGCTCCCACTTCTGCTCGGCGGTCTTATGCACGTGCACATATCATTCGCAATGCTTCCCGTGTCCCAATGTCGAAGGCAATTTTGTTGTTGTTTTAAAACCCCACCCTGGCTGTTGCTGGGGGCCCTAATATAACCCAACATATGGGTTGAACAGGGTTTTTGGGACCTGTCCCCTTGTGATCCTCATCTGAATGGTGGCACTTTGTGTCTCTGGGTGTTTATCGTTCGATGTCCTGGTGGGGTTAAACGTCATCATCATCATCATCGTCAGGTGCACATATGTGACAAAGCAAATGAAAAATATAGTTTTATTTCTATCAAGAAGAGCGCTCGTATTTCATACAAAAAACATGAGCTCGATCCTCGGTAAAGGATAGAGATTTTTTTCTGTTGAAGCCAAAAACTGAAATCCCAATCTGCACAGCACGTGGCGACTGCACTAGCCATTCTCAAACCTCCTTCTCCTACGCCACCCTAATAGTAGTAAAGATCCTCGGTTGTACAAGTGAACGTCATGCCATGCCATGCGGTGTATCCTTGTCTTGCCAGACATGGTCACTAGATACAAGATGAGCTGGGCGAAGGCGTTTCCTGGTGTTGCTGTTGGCTTAAAACACTCTCTGCACAGTTGCCTATAGGCGAACCACGTCCGACTTGCCAAGGTAAAGAACCCGTCTTTATGCTTTAAGCTTTCTGATCATATGGCAATATATCGTATATGTGTATACCAGTTTCTACTGTAGGGATGATACGGTAACATCATACCGGTCGCCGTTGCATCTTATACAATCTTCTACCTATTACTTCTAGATAGAATGAAAGTGGAAGCCAAGATAAATTTTTACAAATTCATCTCCATTTGGATTCGAACCTATGACAGACTAGATCGACAAGCAGGCATGTTGCCTCCTGCGGAAAAAAAAACATACTCTGTTTTAATTGAGTGTCAGTAATGATATTACGTTTATTTCCACGTATAAGTAAAGTAAGTAAAGTAAAGTAAGTAAAGGTGAGAGGAACGATTTTATTGCATCAGGTCTTATGCCATGTAGCTCGGTCTCTCCTGAGAGCTTACACAGAGTACGACTTCCGTAGCTACGGTGACGATCCTCAGGGATCTCTGTTAAAAATTGCCCTCATGAACTAAACGGCGTCGCTGTGAAACGAGCTCACGACCTTTAGAGCGCGAGGTAAATGGCTTGACCACTTGGCCACCGAGTTCCCACGACTGCAGTAACGTTGTGTTTTTAAAGAACATTCCGATTATTTTTTTATGAAACCTTTTTATATCTGTCAACACAAAATTGATGATATTTATAATCCATTTTTATTACAG